GGCTTGTGTGAAGCTGTCTCAGATGGCTTGCAGAGGCAATGGTAGTTTGGCACGGAAGGGGAGGGAAAGGAAAGAAGCAAAGGATCTCTGGCTCTTGTGGAAGGCATAGGTTTAGAGACTCTTGAGTTAGGGGCCAGAGTCCAGACTGCTTGCCCAGCCCTCACCTGTGTGGGAAGCAAAAGACCATCCCATATGGGGTTCATCTCATGGAGACTCCCAGCAACCCAGGATAAGGTTTCTTTCTCATTGTAGTGAGGTGACCAGGTGCAGGGCAGGCAGTGGGGAGGGGGCAGGGGATGAGCAGGAAGCTGGCAGGCCCCCCAGATCCATCAAATCTCTACTCCTCCTCTTTGGGCGCTCTGGTGCCATCCCTTGGCCCTGCCTCCCATAGCCATTCCACCATGGGAGCATCCTGCCATCCTTCTAGCCCTGACCTCCAAGCACAGGTGTGCACTTTCACATGCCCAAGGGTCCAACACCAGGCATGTGTGCTCAGAGCCCACACTCCCAAGCACCTCTTGGATTAGCGCCAAGAGAGGCCTCAGGTGAAGCCACAGAGGCCAGCAGCTTTAAATAAAAACCTGACCAATTCATTTACCCTACACCCTTCCTACCCAGGGACTCTATTGTCCCTGGCCACACTCCAGCCATAGTGGCTGGATGAGTTCATACTGGGGGCCACCCTGGCTACAGATGGCCAGCAGCCTTGACTACCACTGAATGACCTGTCCCCCTTTGTCTGGTTTGGCAGGTACTGGTGAGAGGAGAGCTGCCTTTGTCTTGCAGCAGGGCAAGCTACTGGAAAATCAGTAGGTTTCCTGCCTCCAACTTTGGACTACCCTGGGGAGCAGTAAGTGTTGGGGATCAGTGTCAGAATAGGCACTCCAGACCTATTTTTCATTTCTTATGCTGCAGAACAGCCAGACTTCACATATTTCCGCACTGAATCCTCTACAACCTAATGAGTTGGTTTGACAAACCCTCCCAAACCCCTACACCACCCACCCACACCCACACCCACACCCACACAGATGAGAAATTAAAGCAGTGTTCAAGTCAAACCCTAAACAAGCCCTTAAGGGGGCTAACACACGCCTAGCTAGGCCAGGATGACACCATAGGTGAGTCCAGGAACTTGCCTGGGCAAACACCAAGCCGCGGCTTCTTCAGGCTGGGTTGCTTCAACATCTACGAAGTCGACGTCTGCTGTGAATGTTTTGCTTGCCTCCAAGAGGACTGTACTCGTGTGTGTCTCTGTGAATGTCACTTCTTCCATGAAATATTCCTTAACCAATCCAACTGAAAACCTTTGGATTTCCATGGCATTTGGTCTTGTTCTTTGGAACTTGGCATTCTTGGAAATGACCTTTGGGGCCTGGACTTCCATCTTTTTTTCTTTTTCACCTCCACCAAACCACCTGTGCCCATACCTCAGCTGGTTCCCTCCCCTCCCTTTTCTCCCTCCCTTGTGTTCCCTCTGGTAACCATTATATTCTTTTTTCCCATTCAAGATTTATTCTTACTGTTCTTTTTACACATGAATTATTTTGGTATTTGTATTCCCCAAAATGTTATTTTATATTTTACATCATTTTCCTTTTTGTGCAATGTATGCTTTCTCCTCTCGTGTAGTCCCCATAAAATTCCCACCACCAAATCACCATGTACCATCATGGCAGTCCCATGTGTAAGAACACATGCCCTCCTGTTTTGATCCCTCTCCCAACCCCTCTCCTCTGCAGTATCTGATTTATAGTTGCCTTTTTTTTTTCTTGGTCTCTTACTTGGTTCCCCTTACATTCCTCCTATATGGGAAACCGTCTGACAGTTTTCTTTTTCCTTCTAGTCTATAGCTGAGCCTAATCCCTTCCAGTTCCATGTTACTAATGGCAAGTTTATCTTTTTGATCACTGAATAGAATCCCATTGCATGTATACCACATCTTCTTGATCCAGTCATCTACTTTTGGGCATTTGGGGGTTGTTTCCATATCTCACCTGTTGTTAAAAGTGCTGTGATAAGCGTAGGGGTGCAGTTCTGCATACAGAACTGGGATACAGGCCAGAGGCTCAGGGGCGGCGAGAGGCTTCACCAGAGACAGAGTGGGGAGCAGAACAGGCAGAGTGATGGAAGTACACTGCTGAGGGGAACAGCAGGCGGGTCAGGAGAGGTCTGCCACACCATATGGATCACCTCCAGGGCGGGGACCAAATTCATGAGGAAATGGCTTTAGTTGCTTAGTGCTGCATTTCAACCCTCTGCGCCACCAAGGAGGGCCAGGCTCAGAATATTTTAAGGTCACAATTTTATCTCTATAAGGTATTAGCAGCTAAGACAGGGCTGTTGTTTTATTTAAGGTGGATCAGAAGCACTGCTCCAGTCTTCTGGTCATCCAGAATGTCCGCTGGCTGCCAGACAGACAAAAATGCCATCACCTCAATGGGTGGCAAGTGTTCTGCTCTAGATGAGGAGTGCTTGGTCCTCGCCTACAGGGAACTCAACTGGTGCTGCAGGGGTAGGATTTCAACCCAGGTTCTTTTCACCATATGATTTTAAAACTCTTTTTTGTGAAAGTACTTCAGAGTTATTCTGCAAGCATTTGCTTAAATGTCATTTTAAATTATTAGTAGTCATCTTTAACATGTGCACTTAAGTGTAAAATACACACTGGCTTAGGCTGCTTGAGATTCAGCTAAGGCCTCCTTGCTGTGCTTATTTATGTGATCTTCTCAGAGTGTGGCTGGGAGGGTGCTGTGATCACCTTGTCCAGCAGCCAACTCAAAGCTAATGGCTTTCACCAGAATTAAGTTTAGTGCACATAAACTTTGGGTGTTTCTTGCTGAATGGTACTGAATAATCTTCCACTGATTTTTCTAAACTACTTCAGTTTTAGAAATAATAACAAGATTACAAGCAAGCTGTGACTAATACCATTTGAAACCACTTATCTAGACAAAGACTTTTCCCTCCGAATCTCACAAATTTAGGAAATGGCTAAGACGTTCACAACTAACCCATCTGCACTAGTCAAAAATGCTTCCCCACTGCCATTCCACTGATTTAAGACATTGTGATGAACTTATTCATGCTAAGGGACCTCCCTGGTGGCGCAAGGGGTTGTCTCAGCACTATGAAGCTATTAGCAGCCACTATAGCACAAGTTCGAGCCCTGGCCAGGGAAGTGACCCACATGGCGCAGCAGACTCTCCTGACCCACCCGCTGCTCTCCTAGCAGTGTACTTTGCCAGTTGGCCTGTCTCTGGTGAATCCTCTCACTGCCCCTGCACCTCTGTCCTGTACCCCACTTCTGTATGAATAAATAAATCTTAAAAAAAAAAGCACCCAAGCCTCATGTGTTATTAGCATTGGGGGGGGGCATTCTAATTCAATCAGGAAACAGTTACAGGTCAATTTTAAATGTCATTGTGGAACAAATCTTACTGAAAATACAAAATGCAACTTGCTATGTGTAATATAAGAAAACTGTCTAACAACATGAAAGATTAAAAAAGGGGGGTTTAAAGCAGCATTAAAACCTTCGGTGATTCCCCTTTTAGAGGGTCTCCTCACCCTCTCATGCTTCTGAAAAAATTGCTTCACACAGAAGAGACTTATTTGACCCGGGAGGCAGCTGGCATGTGCAGAGAATGTGCAGCCGAGAACTGCACCAAGGGGAGAGGAACAAAGCATTAGTGTGGCTGTGTGCAGGTGCAGGTTTGGGTGAGAGTCTAAAAGGGTTGCCTCCTGTTGCTGCTGGTAACCGTTAGCAGATTCGAGTCCTGCCCTTGAGAAATCTTGTCAATAACCTCAACTTAGAACAAATGTTCTTAGAAAATGTGACTAGAAATTAAACAGCTGGAACACCTGCTACGTTATCCAAAACTCCAAATGGAGACTTGGCCTATTTTTAACTGGGCTGTCAGCCTTTGTCTCAGCTACTGTAATCAGTGGGGGTACAGCTGAAGCCCTGGGAACTAGTCACTTGAACAGGCACCAGCTAAACAAAATTCTATAACACCTTCAAATCAGCTCATTCTTAAAAGATTAATAGAGGTCAGGGCTACAATTAAAACTTCAGTAAGGATGGATCTCCTTGCTTCCTGCACAGCAATGATATACACCATCTTCTGGACAATCGTGTCCAATCTTATTCTAGAACATATGCTCAATTTCCATTTTGAAAATAACTGAAATTTGTTTAACAGGTCCTCTGGCAACATTCTCTTTTTAAACTGCCACAGTACTTTTTAGATTCTGTATCTTTGCAAACAAGAAACCAGCAGTAAGCATGTTAGCAAATTAATAAAGAAAAAATTTCTGCACATCCTCACAAGTTAAGATTGAGGCAATGCTACCAAATTTGTGGGCTAGGGTAAAGGAGAGCAAAGTATACAAAACAGCAGTATTGAGAGAATATCAGGATAAGTTCAAAGATGAGGACATCCTGGCAGCTCAAGGTCCCTGTTAGCACCCCACTGTATCAGCCAGAATGTCCCCACAGGTCCACCTAAAGGAAGCTGGCCCTGCCCAAATGGAACTGCTTTTATCCACGTACAGCCACCATCCACAGGACAATTCCTTGGCATTGGGCCACACTGCACGTTTCACTTGATTCTTTACCTCCCCATCTATAGGCCCCAACAGCCCTAAGTTCTGCTACTGTTTTAACTGACTGAGGGCTAGCTAGCTCACTAGCTCTTAGGAATGGTAGAAGCTATGTATATACATACTGGTTCCTACACATACTCATGTTTTTACAAGTGGGATTAGCAGACTGACTCCCTGAGTGACAGGCTAGTTTCCCGTCCCCTGCTAGGCAGCATGCATGGCTTTCAAACCATGCTTGTATACTTTAGAGAATAAATCCAGAAAATGACCCTGGAGAGCCAAAGGGTCAAGGCTTTCAAAGAGGTTCTGAGCAGGTCACTCAAGTTGGGATGGATACTCAGTAATGACATGGAGAAAAGAAAATCCACACCCTGCAAAGAACTAGTCAAACGACTGTATTATGTAGCCTTGGTTGGTTACAGATCTAAGAAGTGTGTGGCAGCAGGGGGCAGAGACCTCTAGTTAGGGACATTAATCTGATGTTTCGGCCCTCAAGGTCTCTGTCCACCCATATTTTCTCGTCCAAGAATGACGACAGCCCTCCCAACCCAGCGTCTCCTTCCACTCCACTGCAGATGACATTCCTTGGTGGGGTAGAATTGAAAAGCCAGAGTACTGCCCTATAATCAGAGCAGTGCAAAAAGGAGCCTGGAAGCCAGAGGTAGTTTTAATTACTATCGATGCTCAATTCTCCAGATAAGAATTGCTGATTACTAAGATGCCTGACTACTTTGCCTTTTTTAGCCTGGAAGATGTTAGACGCAAAACCATCCTACGGAACTGTGTTCCCGTGCTCGGGCACTGGGGAGCAGCTCCTTGCCAAGGTCCAGAGTCGAAAATCGTAGCTTCCTTTGCCAGGTGTCAGTTTCCCAGCAGCACCTCAAACTGCTTCTGTATAAGAGGGAAGAGGGATGAAGAGCAGATAAACCATAGGGAAAAGAAATTAGAACATGTTAGCAAAAGCTACCATGCGGAACACTAAACTTTATTCACTTTATTTATATATTTAACAATTCTAAAGTATTTACTTCTTGCTTTGACAAAAAATGAAAAATATAGGAGCACTGACTGACTCCTCTTTAGGAGAAAAGGGTTATATGTACATCTATGGAGAGTTATGGTTCCTCCTTTACATACAAAGAAAAATATTAATAAAAAAGTGCTTCATTGATCAAAAAAGGGCTAAAAGCTGCAAGCATTTATTCACACTGTACATCAGACCCAAGAAACCCGTATCATAACCTCTTGGCACCTGTCACTAGGAACTGCACAATATTCCATTAGACTGACTTCTGACCGGCATGGTCAGACCACACGAAGTGTGGAGAAGAACTACACCCTGTTTTATTAAATTCAAACTCTGAGCAACCTGCTGCCACTGGGAAGACGCACTCAGATGCTCTGGCTTTGCCTGGACTGACAGCTCCAGGGAAGGCTTCTAGGCCACGTCTTAAACATACCCAGGCACACACAGGAGCCACCTTCCTGAGACATAACTTGTCCGTGGCCAGGGAGTTGCTTCTAAGGGTCAGAGAGATCCCTGGCCTCACCCCAGCTTTCATCACCATCTGCCCTGTTACCAGTTAGCAGCTATTAGCAGAGCCAAGCATGGCCCTTTCCCTCTAAGAGGAAGGGCAGGCACAAATATGGATGCCAAGATTACAAAGCACAAACCCAAACTTCTTTCCACTCTTCCCCATATCCACCTCCACTTCCACCACAAACATTCTTGATTTAAGGCTCTTTCTGGACCACACCAAAGCTTTCTGAGGAAAGGTGCCCTGCATCTCCTATAAGTGATGTCACTTCTCTAAGGAATCCTGCAGTGTCACCAAGTGGCCTGACCAGCAGCCAGACATGCCCACTGAGGCAACACAGGAATAGGGCAGTGGGACTGGTGAGCCTTTCCTGCCGCCCCAAAAAGGGAGGGAGGTTGATTGTATGGGACATTCTCCCTGTTCCAGAGACTTGTACTCAGAAAGGCTGATTTTACCCCGCCCCCGCCCCTTGAGGGGGGAAATCCATGATTTGTTTGGTTGGGGATGGGGAATTTTTGGAACCCTGAGTCTGGATTTCACTGTGCTGACCGAGAAAGATTGTTTGGGAGACCAAGCCCTGGAATGCCTTCCAGATTATGTCTGGCTCAGGATAGGTCTTGACATTGGCCTTAGCCACAGCAGGACACACTGCACTCCAGCTAATCTGAACACTTATGCCTGAGGATGGGAAGTGCTACAGTCTGGCCAGGGGAAGCAGACCTCTGACAGTGAAGGGAGCCCTGAATATCTGGGTCATGTTAAAATCAGAATCCCAGCATCTCATGGGGGAGGGTATGCTTGCTGTTCCCAGACCTTCTTGCTTGCCTCAAAGATTACACCTTCCTTTCCCAAAGCGGGGGTCTTCAGAATGTGCCCACCCCTCCAGAAGCCATTTGCCTTTAACTATCTGTGAAATGGGACTGGTCCAGACCCTCTCAAGAGGAAGAGGTACCAAAGGCAGTGCTCTTAGGGAAGTTACTTCCAGTCTCCCTAGCAGCAACAGTTTCCCAACCAGCTCCCATGTGGTGGTGGCATGAGAAAGGGCCACAAATATTAGCACTGGCTTCCCCCACCTGCCACCCCCCAGCTCACTATCTGAGGTCTCTACTCCTGACTGACCAGCCTCCACCATCCTGAGGAACTAAGCCAACCCTCAGCATTGTCTGATAGCAAGTGACTCAACAGTTATGGGAGCCCTGGCAACCTCTGGTGTTCCATCAGAAGGGGGGGTGGGAGGGGACCACAACTAGAGGATTTTTCTCTTTTTTGGAGGTAGAGGGAGTATGGAAAAGAGGGGGGGGCAGGAAAGAAAACTCAATCTATAATCCAGTGGTACATCCCAAGTTTCTGTCACGCCGCACAGGTGGTTCCATGCCCCCATTCCAAATGCACGGGCCTCTTGGTCTGCCCAGGCTATGTGGGCCTGTCAGAGGAACAGCAGCTTTGCCTCTGCCCGCCCCAGGTCACTGAGCTTCAGTTTGAAGTGGCAGCAATGGGCTTGTCCAGTTCAAGGTCAATGCTGGAGCTCGTGGGATGTAGACTGCTATAGCAAGACTTGCAGACTCGACTGGGTTCAAAGAGCTGCTGGCTGGGAACTGGAACCTTCTGGTTACAACAACTGGAGCAAAATACATTCCCACAATTCCTTAAGATGAGAAAAAGAACAAAATAATGTTAGTTTTGGTAGCAGGTATGCAGTGGGAAAACCAGAACTTTGTTGTGTGAAATTCAGATGTGCTGGAGACTCCTCTAAGATTGAACACTTTCATTTATCTAGCCCAGGAACAAGCAGGGCAGGGAGGGGATCCCTCCCAAATACAGTCACATACCACTTCTACTTCAGGCCCAAGGACACTTGGTTGGCTACCTCACCATTATGGCTCAAGGTTATCAGGTGTCAGGAGGATGCTGCTCCAGAGAGACCCATGAGAACAAATGGGTTGAAGACAGAAGCAGCTGCTAGCTCAATGGGCAAGTCCTGACCCAGGAAAACCCATGGGCCATAGACACCTGGGCAAAGGCTTTTTGTGTAGCTCATGATTACAGAGAGGCCAAAGTCCAGTGGAACTGCCTCCAAGCCCCTCAGATGTGAGGACAACTACTCAGTCCAGCAGGGGAGAGAGAAACCTAGCGTAACAGGCTAGCTTAGAGGCTCAGAGGCAGCAACACCAATACACAGCTTCCACCTAGGACTGCTCTGCTGTCAGCATGCAAAGCCAGAGACAAGCAACCAGTGACACATGCTCAAGGTGAAAAGACAAGAGCACAGATGAACACACGTGCACCATACCCCCTTATTAGACAGGTGTCAGTCAATTATGGTTTGGCCCCCTAGCCCCATGGATCTCTAGGGAACATCAAGGCTAATTGAAGTCCTGAATTTATCGAGCTCCAGGCCTCTCTTCTCCACTTGAAAGCCCAGCTCTGATGTGCCTGTGCAGCACAAGTCCACATACCCAAACAGACCCTGTATGGGAAATGGAAAAGGAATGCAGAGGATGCATTTCTGTCCATCTTACAACTCTATTTTTCCTGGTCCCCAAAGTACAAATAAGTCCCAATGGGCTCAAGAATGGGAGACTCCAGGGAGCCCAACACAGCCCACCAATGACCTGGGGAAAGCAGCTAAAGGAAAAAATCCTCCTTAGCCAGCAACGCTCATTACCTTTTCATATATCCTACTCAGAATCCAAACCCACTGCTGGATTAAGGACCAGGCATGAGGCAAGAATACGGAATTGCCCTTTGAGAACAAAAGAAACCACAAAAGGAAGAGGCTAGACATAGGCAATGGAAGGACAGAGAAAATGCGCACATGCGCACACAAATAATCTAGAATGCAGTACTTCACAAGAAACAAAAACTAGGCAAGAGCCTGTGATTACACAGAAAAATGACCAAATCTGTTTCTGAATAACAACATTTCACATCAGGTGGGAATCCTAACAGGAATTTGATCAGATAAGTTATTCTTCTGGCTGTTTTCAAGGGATTCTGAAAGACCCTAAGTGGAATCTTCCTTTAGAGTTTTCCATGCTAGAACAGTTTTCTGGCAAGATCACCCTTGTTTGGGCCTGATTTCTTAAAGAACAGTGATGCTGTTTGACTCGGAAGTCACTAGCATTATTCTGATTTCTTAATGAGTGACTGACCTGAAAGAAACAGCTCTAGAAATCCACCTGTTACTCCACTAAACCAGGCCCTGCAAAAGCACAGTGACTTGTCATTATCAAGATAGCTCATCTGACTTGCACTGCCAGGAGGGGACTGCAAGACTGGAGTGGTCTCAGGAAGCTGCTTTGGTCCCCACCCCCATCTCCACGCCCAACTGCCTGCCTGTCACTCCCAACCCCAGACTTCATTCCAATGAGTGCAGAGAGGGGGCAGTAGCAGCGTTAGTGTGAAGAAGTTATTGTAGATGTGCAGACATCACAGACAGGTTGTTGCAAATGCTCACCACGTTTGATCAACACGGTCAGTGTCCCTGCAAGGAGGGGAGAAAGAGCTCAGAGGAGAAGCCAACCAAAGACATTTGGGCTTGGGGTGGAGTGTGGGGAGACATACAGTCTTAGAAACATCATTATTAGACAAAGAGGTGGTTCCATTTTCAATCCAGGGCCACTCTGTGGGCAAGCTGTATCACAACTCAGATAAATTTTCTACCTCAACAATACTGATCATCCACCAGTCATCACTTCAGCTGGGGCAAGACATCCCTAGCAATTCACAACCCCAACAGAGATAGAAAAGTGAGGGGCCTTAAGGACTTAAGACTATGCCCTCAGCTGTCCCTACGACAACCCCAGTTACATCGGCTCATCACTGGTCCAAGGGAAACAAGTTTGGAGTCAGGAGCAGGATAAAGTGTAGGAAAATGAAGTTCCCTTCCCATAGAAGGAAAACTATTTTTGCTCATAGCAGTCATGCTGAATGGGAAAAAATTGTATTCTTGGGATAAGAAATGGTGTTTTGGATGATGGCAGTTGCTCCACCAATCTGGGAAGCAAAACAAAACAAAAAGGGTTTATCAATTTTATACTTCAAATTTTAGTCATGATCCTCTGAACTGGAAAACACCAAATACATTTCTGCAAAACGTCAATTTCAGAGGCACAAAAGATGAGTCTGGGTCCTACAGGCCCTGGGGTCTGCCTCAAACAGAACACAGCCAGCCAGGTGCCTGCCATGTCTCCAGTCTGCTGACTCCAGGCCAAATCTCAGCCTCCACACCTTGGCCCATCCCACCACACCCCGCAATGGCACCTGCAGTGGTGCTTCCTGCTGGCGAGCCAGAAGGCGCTGTCACATGCGTAGCAGTGGGCAGCCAAGTGGTCGGGAAGCCAACGGGTCATCTGTAAAACAGATGGGGCCAGGTTAGTGACAGGAAATGGGTCATCCAGCTGGAGCCAGGAGAGCCATGCTGGGACAAGTCACCAGGATCACTCTGGCTCCAGTGGCACCAGACCAGCAAGTCTGAGGTCAGCAGTACAAGAAAGGCGCCAATCCAAATCGTTTCCCTGGAAGGGATTCCAAACTCCCCTGAAGTAATGGTGGCAGGCTGCAGCACCCTGGGTTGTTATAAAAGCTGGCATGGTTCCAGTTCATAGAGACGAGGAAAAAGGGCCAGCTTGCTGAGTTTCCCTGGCTCAAAAATTCTAGGCTTGATGGGGAGTCACAATAGTGAGACAGAGGCTGAAGGCTAAGTGAGTTATGAGGTCATTTCTTAGCCAGGGGCGTGGGTTAAGGAGGGGGGTAGAGAACTGTAAAACTGTAGCATGGACGGCACTCAGAACAGGGGCTGAGCCTGTACCTCCGTGTCCTGTTTATCCACCTGCTCCCAGCTGGCTTCAGAGAAAATCTCTGTGCTGCAGTGAGACAAACAGTTCTGATCCAGATTGCTTTCCGAGTCGGGGATTGAAGTCTGTTGGCAAACAAACACAGCTGAACAGAATGAACCTGGGTCTCCTCCCAGAAGAAAGGGCTTGATGACTTTGGGTGGGCCTGAGTATTAGGGCTGCCAAATCTGCTGGTACATCAGCCTTCGAGATATGAGTTGAGCAGGTGCAGAGAGATACACAGATCTAAGGTTATAATGCTGTGACTCTGGAGTAAAAAGATGGGCCTTGGGTTCCAGGAACTGAGTGGGGTAGAAGTGACCAGGGTGGATTAGGAACTCTCTGAGTGTCAGCTGCTCCAGCAGGGCTGTCAACCCAACCCTGCCACTTAGTTAAAACTCAGTGCTTTGGGGCATAGTCTCCTTTCTCGGAAGGACTCTTTGGGAAAATGAGAAACCATTATTAGTATGAAGGAAAAACCAAGAAGTCAGTTTGAACTGGAAGTCATTGGATGAGCCCGCCTTTAGTGTACAGTGACTGCTTCAGAGCTAGGCTGACTCCAAGACTTGAACATCAGTCAGATCCACTTAGTGAGGCTATCACCTCCTGGAGAACTTCCCCTCAGGTACCTCTACTTCCAGCCACCAGGTCCCACAGCGCTAACTTGACAGACTTAAGACCAATCCCTACCCCTTTGCTGCGCTACAAATACCTATTTTAAAAACCCTTAAGCTTTTCACAACCACAGCCCATGTTTGGGGAGGCTTAGTCTACTACCTGCTGGGGTAAGACAGGCACTACAATTTGACAGGAATATTTGACAGTGCCCTATAAATGTTAGTTCTGCCCAGGAGTTCAAACCCTTCATATGATCCTCTCTGAAGAGATCTGACCAACCACCTAGCCAAGTGCTAACTCTCCTCCGTATTCTAGCTGCCTAAACAGGACACATGTAGAAAATAAGCAAGGCAGAAAAGGGGCAGGCTGCCATTCACATGGCTGGGGCTAACCTCCAGCCAGCCTCTGTCAACAGGGCTACACTGGCCTCTCCAACCTGTACCCATCACCAGGCTCAGGTTCAAAGGCACCCAGCTCCAGTGTGCAGCTGAGTATGCGCCATGCACGTAGGGAGGTACCATGGTGAACTCACCACTTCATCACCAAAGTCCCCATTGAAGTGTAAGGAGCTGGTCAGGTACTGGCTCTCCAGGCGGCTCCTCAGCTCCTGGACTTGTTTCTTCAAGGTCTCGACTTCCTGCTGGTGGCCTGACTCAATCTGACGCAGGCGCTGTTGGATAGTGTCCGTGTACACAGGCATGCCATCATCATCTAGGTGGCTGCGGGAGGGCTGGTCAGGGCTGCCTGTGGCAGAGGGTCTCCCAGAGTGGCTGTGCAGCCACTTGTGGTGCAAGTTCCTGGAGTATAAGTGAGCAGAACTGCAGCTCGTGGCAGACAGCTGGCGGCTCAGTGAGTCCTTGCTCTTACCAGCCTCCCCATTTGTGCAGTGGCCATTGGGAGTGGGGTATTTCTGCAGAGTGCTAAGCCCTGGGGGCTGCTCTGAGGCCTTATTTTCCATCTCTGGGGCACCATTGCACACAGGACCCTCTTTACATTCGGCTGAAGGCAAGGCACAAGGAGAAAGCATTGGGCCATGGGTGCTGCCAGGGGAAGTCCTATGCACCACAGAGCCTACCTGGGGCCTCTCAACTAGGCTTCTTTCTGAAGGCCTGGTCTCCATTGCTTGAGGAAGTAAGTCCTTGACACCTAAGCTGCCTCTGTTTACCAGGCAAGGTCTATTAATGCCCTGGGACCCACTTTTCTGATCTTCCAATAACATGTCTATGGAACTGTCCATGTTGGGTCCCCTGGCCTCAAATGGGACTTGGGAAGGCAACAGAGAATTTAACTGTGAGGTACCATAGCCAACTTTTGCATCAACTAGGATTGGAAGAACTGCTTCCTCCTCCCTGTCCTCTGGGATGGCTCCTATTTGAGGTTGTTCCTCAAGGACATCCTCTCCTCTGTGGGACTCCTGGAAAGAATTGGGAAGAACACCATGTTCACCCTGCTGCTGAGGGATATCCTGTGAAAAGAGAGACAGGGTGGTGTCTGGGTAGCTCCTCAGAGCCCCACTGACCAGTTCTGGTTCTTGATGAAGGATACTGCCTGAGCCCTCAGAAGTCTTCCCCTTGTTCTCCTTCCCAAAGAGAGTCTCCTCTTTGACCACATGTACTTCAACGCTCCCCCTATGGGCAAGCTCTTCTACCCCACTCTCCTCTTTGGTGGCCTCTTGCAAAATGTTCTCCATCTGTCCCTCAGCTACTCCAGCTGCAACAGACAGCTCTGCACCTCCCTGGACTTTGGCCAGCTTTCCAAGGCTGTCAGGATCAAGAGGCTCTTCGCCAGGACAAGCCAGGGTGCTCAATTCTAGTGAGCGCCGGTGTTCCTGCCACTTCTCATTCAGGCTGGGGTCACTGCTGCGCCGACTGGCGAGAGGCACGGTATTGTCACAGGCTGTAGTCAGATTGTCAAATGACCTAGTCTTTGGTAGCCTGAAAGAGAAGAGTTTAGGAGGAGAAATGAAAATCTGTAGTTGTTCAGAAGCAAGCAGGCGACAACAGGTTTGATAGGCAGTTGTTTCATGACTGGATCCATTACAGTTACTCAAGAAGTTCTGGGATCTCTGAAATGAAGCTCAGATTACTTGAAATACAAAGCTCCAGGTGAGTTTTTTCTAGTCTGCACATTTTCTCTTGCACCAACCCTAACCCAAGCCCAAAACATACCAGTAAGTTAAGAGCCAATGGTATTTTCCAAAGACATTCTTGATGATACTGTTCTGTTTCTCAACTAATGGTGAAAGAAAATAGTAATGCTAATTTCTTGATATTATATTTTAAATTACAATAATTTACTATTTACCATTCTGTAGAATGGTATCACCTGACAGCATCTGCCTTTTAAGCCCAAGAAGACAAATCATGACAGGGAAGAATGACCAGACAGAAGCTGGCCACAAAGGCCCCAGAGGATTTGCTTCATCAGTGAGAAAACTGCTCAGGGCATACTACAGGGCCATGTGTTATCAGGGTCCCACACCCTTCAGGAAATGAGGTTCTGGTTTATGGTCTCATAGCTAGAAATATTATACTGCCCATGAAGAAACTTCAAAGAGGGATGTAGGGAGATAGCTGACACCGCGGTCTCTAACAATCCCTGGGTGCATCCTGACACAGGGACACACCACAATGAATTCAATGTACTGGCATCATCAACCCTGGGCTCACCGGCTCAGGGGCGGGTCATCAGGGCTGGTGCCAGGGGCCGGGTATGGTGCACAGCTGTCATCCACAGGGGTGGATGGGGACGGGCAAGGCAAGTACACTGCACTCCACAGCATCAGGTTGCGCACGTGGCACACAGGATACAGTACCTGAGGAGAGCGCACAGGGCACAGTGTAAACAAATCTCTTAGAAACAAAGGTCGAGATAAATACCAAGTTGGTACACCCAAAAGATTTAGCAAAATTCCCAAAGGTGTTACTACCAATGGCACAGGTAATTTTCTCCTAAGAAGGCCAAGAATAGCACTGTAGATTTTTTTTTTTTTTTTGGTTAACATTTTCACTAGAGAGCCCCCTATGGGCATGAAAATCTAAAGCATTTTAAAAGACTCATTGCTTATTAATTATTTCTTAGGACACCTTTATTGAATGAATGACTTTCATCAGTGTAATTTGTTGTTTTTACTGCGTAAGAAAGTGAGTCATTCAGCTAGATGGTGACTGTTTGGGGTATAAAAAATTGGCTTCAGGGCCCTTCCTGGTAATGCAAGGGGTAAGGAACAGCACTGCAGGTAAGCCACAGATGTTTCAGTGCAGGTTCGATCCCTGTCCCGGAGCTAACCCACATGGCTCAGCAGACCTCTCCTGACCCACCCACGGCTCCCCTCAGCAGTGTACTTCATCAGTCTGCCTACTCTGTTTCCTACTCTGTCTCTGGTGAATCCTCTCACTGCCCCTGCTCCTCTGGCCTGCACCCAGTTCTGTATGCACAAATAAATAAATTGGCTTCAGAAGCACTATCAAGCCTGTTTTATGGGATCATATAAATTAATCATGTGAAAAGGAGGGACTTTTCTTCCTATATTGTTACTTCCCCAGCAGGCACAGTGAAAGAGACAGAAAACTAGTTAGCTTCCATCTTGCCTTTGACTACTTTAATGTAGTAAGCAGTGCAACAAAGCAATATATCCTCTGACTAGCCTCCTTCTGAAGAGTTGTTTTTATTTGTTTATGCACACAAGCACTGGGGTGTTGGCCAGAGGTCCAGGGTGTGAAGCCGAACAGGCGGACTGACTGAAATACACAGTTGAGGGGAGTAGTGGGTAGAACATGTGGGTTAACTCCCTGGCCAAGGATCGAACTCCTGCTGCAATGACTGCCAACAGCTTGTCAGTGCTGAGACTTTAACCCTTATGCCACCAGGGAGGTCCAGACTAGCCTCCTTTTGACTGAAGAATTTAAGATGCATTCTGACAAAAGGAAGATTGCCAGTATTAACACAGAAAGTGCCTTATGTCCTCCTTTCCCATTGCTTAACAGAAGGTGTTCCTTTTAGGAACAAAGTTTTAAGAGGCCTGCCAGTTTTCCATGTGAGCAGAGAATCACAGTCACACATGCTCATGTCACACAGTTTTCTGCTCTCTGAGACAGAAGCTGCAGTGTATATAGTTGGCTGTTGACACTGGGTGGGTGCTGGGGGCTCTGATGGCAGCACCTTCTAACCTATCACAGGCATCCAGGGAACAGTTTAAGAGTCTCTTCCACCCATCAGACAGAACAAATAAATTGAGTCCTCATTAAGGGATGAGGAGATATCAGAAAAGATTCATGTTTAGAGCAACAAAGTGGTGATGTGTTAATCAAGTCACTTTGAACAGAAAGTAGTCAAAAGCAGGTTAGTACATTTCCATGAAAAAGGCCTTTCTCAGAACAGTGTGGTAAGAAAAAAATGGGACCAACTCATCTAGAGACAGCAGAAATGCTTCAAGAAAATGGTCACTTCTGTATGTCTCCACCCTCAAATTCCTTTTACTGATCAGAGAGAAAAGGCTGAAGAGTACATGTATGCTGAAAGGATACATACGGCTTCTGACTGGGAGGAATACAGTAGGTTTTTGAAAGCCTTGTTGCCTGCCCGAAGCAGTGACCACACAGAACATGTCCGTTCCTGAGTATGCTTTTCCCCTCTTTCCTTGGCATTGTTGCACAGGAATGTTCCAAAGAGGCAGGAGTAGGTATGTTGCACCAGTTTCACCTGTGGGAGTCCAAAGAAGTGAAATGAAACAATAGGATACACACTCTCTGGGGGAAGGTTAGCTCAGTCACATTCCCCAATATCACTGACAACACTTCAGTTCACAATTGGTTAAGGAGAAGTGAATTACCTACACGATAGCCACCTCTCTGGCAAAGTGTTTGATTAACAAAGTTGACAGCTACCCCCACTAGAGCAACACAGCACACAATCTAGGTTCAGGAGGAGGTTAGAGTGTGACCCAACTGAGAATCAGCGGAGAGCACACATATTTCCACTCAACAAACTGTTATTGTACATCTCACATGACCCAGACATTTCTGGGTGCTAGGTTTTAGAATAATAATTAGATAGCTCTGCTGCCCTGATGGAACTTTTACTAGTTGTGAGAGAGAGGACGATAGTGCTATGGACAACAGTAAGAGAGGGTAAAAGGGACTGGGCATATGTGAGCAGCGTGGCTAAGACCTGACTGAAGGGAGAAAGCGGGTCATGAAGTTATCTGGGGGAAATGCTCCGAGGCAGAGGCAAAGGCAAGCAGAATGGTCTTGGCTGAGAGCTGCTGTGATTTCTGAGGAACACAGGTGACTATGAGTTAATGACACTGCATAGGAAGGAGAATGGTAGAAATTAAAGGCTAGACAGGAGACCTCTAGCCAACCCCTGAAGACATTTTAATACTTCTGACTTCCATAAAGTGCAAAGTCACTGTAGGTTTCTGAGCAGAGAATTTTGTTTTGAAGAAACCCTTTGCTGGATTGACCCTGTGGAAATGGAGCAAGAATGATGGATTGGAGTAGTGTGGCCAACAATAGAGTTAACAGTAAGTAATCAGGTTTTAGATATATATTGAAAGCAGATACAGAACCTGCTGACAGTCTAAATGTGGATTATAAAAGAAAGAGGAGAACTGAGGATGAAAGTTGTTTTTCTTTTATATCTGACTGATATATTTATTTGGTATTAATTTTTTTAATTATGGAAAGATTAGGGTTCTATCAACTATTACCACTGTAGGGTACCCACCACCAAATCACCCAGAATCTACTCCACAGTCCATTATGCTTCCTTCCTCTTGGTTCTTACACCTCACCCAGTGCCTCCCTGCTTTGGAAGCTTCAGTGATATAAAGCTTTTGCCCTAAGTAAATGGAAATATTGAGTTGTCGCTTGATGAAATTAAAAGACTTCTGAAAAATTAGGTTTTGGGGTGAGGAGATGTGGAAATTAAAAACCAAATTTCAAACATATTACATGAGAAACAACTAAGACATATGAGTGGAAATACTGGGTAGTCACAGTTAAATATGTGAGTCTAGAGTTAAATGAAGTGATCTGAGCTAAAGATACAAAAATGTAGGAGTCCTACAGGGCAATTAAAGCCACTGGATTGGCTGGATGAGATTCCCCAGAGAGGAAGTATAGATAGAGAAGCAGTCTGGAAGCTGGGGCATGCCAACATTCTGTACTAAGAAGATAATCAGGAATCAGCAAAGGGACAGAAAGGACCAGCTGGTGAGGTAAGAGTAGAACTAAGAGTGTGTGAATGCTGGGAGTCAACTAAATAAGTGAATGAAATGACTGAACTGTGCCAAGTATTAATGTTGGATGAAGACAACAACTAAGAGCTGATCACTGGATTAGCAATGTGAAGGTCACTAATCACCATAACCACAACAGCTCTGATAAAGTATTAAGATGAATACCTGATGGGCTAATTTAAAAGAGACAGGAAAGGAATTTGAGATAGTAAATGCAGAAGACTTGAGGACCTATGCTGTCAATGGTAATAGAGAATCGAGAATTACAGGAGGATACAAGATGGAGACTAGGTTTTTATGAAATGTAGGCACTACATCATGTCTGTATACTGATGGCAATGACTTAGTGAAGAGGGGAGCACACCAATGTAAGAGGCAGAGGAAAGCTGCTGGAGCCAAGCAGCTGAGGAGAGGAGGGGGACAGGAGCTGGAACAAAAGGCACATCAGCAGAGAGCATGAGACAGATATGAGGGGTATGTTAAATGGATTGAAATAGACTGACATTCTATTTGCTTCTGTTATGTACTTTCTATCATCCCCTTTAAAAAGTGAGTCCAGAGGTTCCTCAAACTGCTAAACATGGAGCTTCCTTATGACCCAGCAATCCCACTCCTAGGTATCTACCCAAAAGACACAAAAACACTGATTCAAAAAGATACCTGCACCCCCATGTTTATTGCTGCTTTATTTACAATTGGAAAAACATGGAAGCAGCCCAAATGCCCAAAAGTAGATGACTGGATTAAAAAGATGTGGTACATATATACACAATGGAATATTACTCAGCAACCAAAAAAGAGAAATACATGTCTTTTGCAGCAACGTGGATGGAGCTGAAAAAGATCATGCTTAGTGAGATAAGCCAGAAAGAGAAAGAAAAATACTGGATGGTTTCACTCATAGCCAGAGTATAATGGACCAGGCGAGAAAATAACAAGAATAATGAACAGCCATATACCAGAGACATTTTGTGGGGGTGGAGTGGGAAATGGGATCAAAAACGGGGGGTGGGGAGGGAAGTGCACGGGATTTTGGTGATGGCACACGGGTGACTTGGTGATTACAATTGAGATGGGGGAAAAAATGTACAAAATGATGTAAAAATAAACTGTTATTTAAAAAAAGTGAGTCCAACAACTCAAGAATTTTCACAAATCTTGCATACCTAAACAAATAAATTTACTGTTTTGTTTTTTTTTTACTAAAAATGGGAGAAAGACAGACATTGATATTACATTCTGAAAAGGTTGCAGTTCATGTGAAATGGCCCCAAAACAAAGCATCACACGCCCAGACTCACAAGGAATGCTTCACTGAATTCAAAGGAGCAAGGAAACTGCCTCTGAAGCTGATGAACGCAGTCAAGCCACTGCAGAAACACCGGGCAACGCTCATTGAGATCGTCAGAGTTCTCCCCATGACCACACCGGTCAGCAAATTTGTGGCCAAAATCCAGCCACTCCATCTCCACAAGGACTTGGAAACCCTGTGGAAGAAACACCCAGGAGAGACCATCTGTGCTCATCTATCTAGAATGCAACAGACCCAAGACCCTTTTTAACAGCTCTGGTCCCTTTCAGCAGCCCCCCCTCCTCCACTACGCCTATCAGGAGCCCCTGACCTAGCACCATAACAAAGGTTCCATGTGTCTACATGCTTAGGACAACTTCCCAATTACTCAATTCCATTCCTTGAGCATCAAAAAGTTACTAAGCAACCATTTACCTAAGTCTTCCTTGAGTCTATTTACATTTTCAATCTCTTTAATTGGGCACATTTTTCCCTGAATTTCTCTAAGTTTTGTTTTAGGTATTATATTTACAAATTCATGTTATAAAAGTCTTTCCCCACCCATACCACATATATTTTAGAATACCTTTATGGCATTTCATACATCTTTAACCTACTTATTTCAGAGTACGCCTCTATCCCTACGGAAAACCCTGTGATACCAATTAGACAATCTATTACCAAAATAAACATGCCAAGATCTGTATGTAGCTCCATTTTACTGAGGCAGTGAAAACTTTTCCAAATACACAGACTACAAAATGTTTACATCTTTAATATCTATTTTCCACAATCTGCCCCACTTTAAGCTGTATAAAAACTGGTAGGCACTGTGGCAATTTAGTTCAAGATAAAGGAGTGATAATTTTAAAACAAATTTCACTTCCTTTAGATCTAATCACCACAAGCAGAACAGCATAAACGCCCTCCACTCATCCTGAAGCACCAAACCCTACTTTTTGGAGGTACCTCTATGGTTCGGTAGTAAGGGTCCAGTAAGAGCTTGGCCAGCGCCACGATCTGGGGAGTGCGGTCCCAGCCATCGGAGCAGTGTGCTAGCACTGGCCGCTGATCACGATCCACAGCATGCACGACCAGAAGTGCCGACTTCAGAAGCACAGACAGGTGATGGAGCCATTTTGTGCTCTCAAGAGCTGAGAGCCAACTATAAAAATAAAAAACATAAGGTAATACTGGTTTTTACATCATGCTATGTATGTGTCAAATTAAACCACAACTCCCAAAGACTTTCCTTCCAAGAAAATCCTTTTCTTTATAAAGTAGATAAAAGGATGAGACCCAAGACTTACTATGTAACAGAGAAAAATCACCTTTTGTTCCAAAAACCTTATGGCTTTTTTCCCAGAAAACTGATAAAAGTTTTTCAGCCCTCAGTATAGGCATACCCAATTTAAGAAAAGTAATTTTCTCTAGACTCTTCTCCTAAAGAAAATGCAGCTACTTCTGAAAGGTAAAACAAAGCATATTTCATACTTAATGATAGCATTCTGCCCACGTTTTGGGGGGGAATTTTTTTTTAAAGATTTATTTATTTATGCATACAGAACTGGGGTACAGGCCAGAGGTGCAGGGGCGGTAAGATGATTCACCAGAGACAGAGCAGGGAGCAGAACAGGCAGACTGAAGTACACTCCTGAGGGGAGCCAGCAGGCGGGACAGGAGAGGTCTGCTGCGCCCTGTGGGTCAGCTTCCTGGCCAGGGACTGAACATGTGCTAAAGTGGCTGCAGCCAGCTTTGCAGTGCTGTACTTTAAACCATTGTGTCACCAGGGAGGTCCCGTTGAAAAACAGGAAAAGAAAATTCATAAATGTAAATATGTTCATTACAAGATTTACACAAGATGCCACATACAAGAATAGTGCAAACAGCATCAGTCACTACCCACTCCTTAACACCTATCATCATGCAAGTCCTGCATACACACTGACACTGGATGGGCTCAGGCTGATACTTAGAGCACCCGTATCTCAACACTAATAGCCACACAGAATTACTGGGTTTAGCAGAGGCTGGATTCAGCAGGGACTTAGAAGAACCTTTTATCAAAAGGCCTTCAGGAATATATTCCAAAACTACCCCCTTGGCAGCAATCACAAGCTAATCACACTTTGTTTAACTGTGTAGACATTTTTTGCCCTATTATGAATCCCAACCCTCAATCTGCTCTCCCCTCCCCAAATCTCAGATTTCTTCAAAATGCAGTAAGATATAATTAAGACCACAATCCATTCCTTTAAATACTGAGTAGGCGGAGGAAGTAAGTACTTCTCATGGGGTTCTGAGAAGGCTTTTGGAAGACTAAGCTATAATGACCTATTAAACCTTGGGGACTGAGTATGTATTTTGGGAATACTCCAAGGAGGAGGGGCTTTCCAAGCAAACAAAAACAGAATATTGTGCACTGGTTTCACATGGATTGGCTTCATCTACCAACCAAGCTCTGGATCCTCAGAGGGCAAACATGTGTCTCAGGTACAGCAGTACCCCCACCAGAGTGCCTACAGTCAAGATTTCTACTGTTTAAATTCAATCTCAAGATTTTCTATGTCCTAAGTAGGTAACTGAAAAACACTTTTTGCTAGTATACCATTTGCTTATTCTCATTCCCCACAGTCTTGAAAGAAACTAGAAGATAAAGCTTAGGAGAAAAAAATATTAAATTATCTCCTGGCCCCTGGAAAAATGGTGAAGAGAACCACTGTAAGTTTTCTTCAACATAACTGAACTACTCTTATATACCAGTTGATGTCCATGCCTGACAGAGAAACTGCACTCCAAAATCTGCCAACCAAGGAGGTGCTGAGAGACTCCACATTCTCTTATCCTAGTCCCAAACTGGATTAAAAATGTACCACACCCTACAGCCACAAACTAGTGTCAGGAGGCTTGCTTATAGCTGGTCCCCATCAGTGCAATAGCTTCTTTGTATGCACAAGGTTGTTTCAGCACTGCATTATGATTTTCTGCCAAATACAGAAAAACCTTCCTTAATAAAATCCTCTGACATTCATTTGGAATAGCTGAAAGCTAAGCATACCATTTTGACTCAAGTTAAAGTATCTTTTTAAGAAAGAATTTTAATATATGGAAGTTACTGGACATCAGGCCCTTTCTTTCATCTTACAGATACATATGTGACTATCTTACTGATAGCTACAATAATTAAGTTACCTAACCAAGTCCCACAATCAATTAAAGACATATCTTTTAAGTTCGCAACCAGGATCTTTCTATACCCCATCTCTAGGGAAGAGAAAATGTTAACAGCTGAGTTCCAGCCGTGCTGTGCAGATGCAAGTGCCTAACTCCCCAAAGGAGAAGAGCAAATTTATTTCTTGGTCAGGTTTTACCCCAAGGACAAGTACTTCACCCTCTGGGCTGATTATAACTGTGATAAATTTAATCATTTGCTATCAGGAGTTGGAACAAGTGGTTCAGGCAGTCTTTTGGTTTTGTAAATCAAATAAGGAAAGCTGTAAAACTTGGTGTGACTGTGAGAGCTGCTTAACAGAATGCAAAGAAACAGTTAGGAGCTTCAGCACAAACACCAGAAAAGAGAATTCGGACTTCTCTGGCATTTTTTTGGCTCATTTAAATAGTAACACAGGAGCTTTAAAATATTTATCTGGCAATAATTCTTTGGGGGGAGATATCACTTCACCTTCCTCACTGAAAATGGCAGCCACTCATTTGAATAAGTAATAAAAATCATAATCATGTTTTTAGTAAATGAGAAGGCACTTTAGAAATCAGAAGCAAATTTAGAAGGAAACTGATGACAAGTTAAAAGAAAGTTTAACCCTTTTAAGAACATTACAAATCTTGACTCTTCATGGTAAAACACCTCAGTTCACTGTAGATAAGTCACCATCAAATATCAGAAACCAAAAAATTAAATTACTTAGGGCCAAAAACAATACAAACAAAGCAGCAAGAGGTCTCAGGAAAAGCAAAGAGGCAATACATCTATTCTGAGGGCTGAGATGTACTCTGTGCTGAATGTTTTAAACCTTTCAAAGAGTTGGATTTTTCTCTCAGCTCCTCCTTTGCACTGCCATGATCCTAACACAGAAAAGAGACTAACATTGATATTCAAAGAAAAACTGAGGATTACCAAGAAATAGAAGGAAAGACATCTCACCTCCAAACTCACTTTTTATAAAGAAAGAGCAATGCAAAATTAAAGCTAAAACCAATGTCTTACTTTCCCGGATCCGGCATCTGTGTGCACAGCAATCGCAAAGACTGAAAACTCCTCCGAATTGAATGAATATTTGCCATTCCCATAAATACAACTTCACAGTTTGGGTAATACTCTGGAGAGAATAACAATAAAGAAAATACACATACGTTGAATTTAAAGCCCACATGGCCATATTTAAAAGCAACAAACTAGCTTTAAAACAAACCCACTGTAGCTGCTGACTAGTCAAACTGCAATGTTTTAATACCAGTAGCCGTGTCTTTTATTGTGAGAAGAAAACAGTAATTGAGTTTTAGCTATTTTTCCAAAAAGAGTGGATTTGTAGAGGAGATAATCACAAAATAGAAGCTATTATTTTTAAGATCTATATATTCCATTTCAACCCCAGGTTTATTTCTTGGGGGTGTCCCTCTAACTGTAGCTCTGAAATCTCCAAAAAGAACTTAGCAGAACATGCATCCAAATTTCACCCTGTTACAACTGTTTTTAATTTCCACCTAGATCATATCTAAAGAGCTTGGTGTCTCCAGCTCTCTGCGTGCCTGGCACTGAAGGGATCTCTCCTTAAAGAAACAGCACTCAAACAATAGCAATGTTATAGATCAAAACAGAGGTGCTTTACTAGAGTTTGGTATTTACAGCTTCAATTTCCACCCCAAGTTTCTTAAATAGAAGACTGTGAGGAGTTTTTCTGTGAGGCCAGTGATTAACATACCCACTGTCAAAGACAACAAAAAGCTTTAATATGACTAAGAAATTGAGCCACTAAAGTAGCAGTTTCCAAACATCAACAGGTCCTATTATGGAGAGGATTTACTTTCCTTATCACCTCAAGTTTGGAACAGGGAAGAAATTTATTTGTTTCACTGCACCTCCTCCTCCATTTCTTCTCTGAAAAGAACATAACAACATTAAGAATACAAAGAAAAGCTCCAGTTCTCTTATGATAGCTAAAGAGCATGGCTTGACAGTCACTGTCAAGTTGAGAGCTAAGTCTTAGGCGTGGCTAGACTAACCAGGACAGAAGGCATCAACACTGGGGTGGGGAAAACACTGTACACCTCACCTGGGCACTCACAGCCTCCTCCTTTGGCTCGGTTTGCCACAGCTGCTGCGTAGGAGCGTGCATCCAAAATCAAAAGCTTCTGTGGTTGGATGGCTAAACTCTCTGCTCCTGAAGCATTTGACAGAGAAGAATCTAGAAACATCAGCAGTAGGGAGGAAAACACTAAATGAATCTGTCTCCCCCAGAATTGTTCAAAATAAAAACACGGGCACAGATTCAAGGGGAAAAAAATACCTTCAAGTAGTTTTCACCAAAACCTTTGATACATAGGCCTCTCTTTTTGACTACTTACAGAAAGTCAGTGAAGATTTGCTCTCAAAAACAATTGCCAGAGCACACATGGGGGCCACATCACCCAATCAGCTAGATCTCATTTCTATATCTACAGACCATTTTTTTTTTTTAAGATTTATTTATTCATACAGAACTGGGGTACAGGCCAGAGATGTGGAGGGTGATAGGATTCA